GGAGCCGCGGGTCCACAATGGCTCGGGACAGTCGTAAAGGTGATTGGGAGACGTGGGTCGTTGCACCACGAGGTCGAGGATCGCCGAGCTGCGCATCACTTCAATGGCTCGTTCGAACGGAAGATCGGTAAGTCGTTGTCCGTTGCACCAGATTATCACGTCGCCGGCCTTCAGACCTGCCGCTCGCGCGGGACCGCCTTCCCTCGTGCCCTAAAGGTGTGCTTTTTGTAAGCAAAACTAATGTCCTCCAACCATTCATCTCGCATAGAATGCGAACTTTTTAAAAATGTCGAATCCCACATACGAGTTCAGAGTGGATAAACCTTGTTACTTTATTCGAATTTATTTTAACTGATATATTTTGGTTTTTAATATATGTATATTTATATTAATTAACCCCCAGGAATAGTTACAGAAGTGATTTTTATATACTAATAGTAAAAAATGGAGTTCAATCGTAGTAGTTTTCCTTATTAATCAGGAATCCATACCCATTTTTTAAATTTCTCCTAATTTTTTTTACAAAGTATTTTTTAGGAAGTAAATTTATATACATAATGATCTCACATACTAATACAATAAATTGTAAAATAATTAATAATATACAATAGGTAATTAATACTAATATAATAATACAGTGACTTTTAATTGGGGTGTAAAAAACACCCTCAGATAATTGTCTAAAATCGTAAAGAAATGAGGTGACTATTTCTTGGTTAAAAAATCTTATAAAAAAGTTTATTTTTATTGAAATAGTTTTAGGAATAATTCTTAAAAAAAGAAATTTTAATCAAAGCAGGTTAATCTTCGCGAAACCGAGGGAAAAATCTCACGAATGCCAGATGTTTCATATGACATGACTACCTCCAATTAGAATGCTATTAACCTGAACAGTGAGACCAGGTACGATGCCTCTGCAAACGCCGCAGCCCAGACGACCTTTCTCGCCGACGAGAATCCGAATTCTGACTTCTGCGCTTGGTATACCGCCTAAACCAGTTTCGTTGTATTGCAGCTGCTGTTGCTGTTGCTGTACCATGTGCCAGGTAACCGGATCGTTTGGATTGCTTTACAAGAATTGTAAGAGATTTTTATAACGAGAGGATATCGATCGTGGAAAGAAGGGGAAACGCACGTACGCATGGTGCGCGCAAGGTTTTAATTAAGTTTCGATACTTACTCTTTTACGGGTATCATCCCAACGCCTGCAATACAAATCGAAAGCCATAAATTACCGCTATCAGCAACGAGATAGAGATTATTGCAACGCGCCGCGAATATTACTGTTATTAATTATTTTTCCATCCGATCGCGAGGCTATCTCTACGCGGCACGTGGAATGAAAGTTTACATCCGAAAGACGTAACTTATACTTTGCAACAAAGATAATTAAGATGGAGACGAGATAGTTACTTCGAATTTTGAGCACCAGGACTTGCTGATTCTTTGCCAGAAGCGCGACCTCCTGGTGGACGGCGTCCTCCACCGGGTAACCGTTCACCCTCAGGATTTGATCGCCTACCTGAAAGCGGCAAGCCGAAAGCGAAATCATTAAGCACGACGTTGGTTAAAAAATTTGTATTAAATTTGACACTTTACGTGTTCTAAACGGTCCATTATTATAAAAGGACCCCGCACAAAATCATAAGATTTTGGCTCTCGATGAAATTGGCTGAAATTTTAGTATGTTATAGTTCTTGACTCACTGATCAAAAGTGTCCATAGACACAAAGCTTGAAAATGACTAGTTTTTTTGTTATAGCCGTTTAAAGTTTTATTTTATTAATGCCTCAAAAGCAAGTTTCTGTAATAAATCAAGAGATTTTAGATAACAATATACCATCCACTCTCACCACCCTCACTCCATTTCCACCCCTATTCCCATACACATATGCCCGCGCGCGCATTTTTACTATGTACTTAGATTTTGCTAGATTTTTACAATTTCTCTCACGCGTATCATTTGAAATGTGTGAGTCCATTTACCTTTCATGTGCGAAGTACTTGATTATCACGACCCGAATGTTTATTTCGGCATGTTAAGCTCCATGTACAAAAAAATATCGGGTGCTCTCTAAAGTGCGATAGCAACATAGGATAGAAAATTCTTTTCCTCTTCGCTTTGTTTACATTCATATGCGGCAAGGGGACACACGAAAATCAAGTAACCAAAAGGAATGAAACGCCTGTTTCTTTTCCTCTTCGCTTTGTTTACATTCATATGCGGCAAGGGGACACACGAAAATCAAGTAACCCAAAGGAATGAAACGCCTGTCACGTCGTTCATTCCGAATAATTTTGAGAACGGACGAAAAACTAAAATCATAAATGTACCATTGATGCATACACAAACACACACATGCGCGCGCGTGCACACACACATACGAAACTTCGATTTTTGCACCTTTTTCATATAAAAATGCGCGCGCGGGCGTATGTGTGTGGGAATGGGGATGGGAGTGAAGTGGGAGTGGAGTGGAGATGAGATTGGGAGTGAAGATGGTGAGAGTGATTGGCATATATTGTTATTTAAAATTTCTTGATTCATTATAGAAACCTGATTTTGAGGCATTAGTAAAATAAAACTTTAAATGGCTACAACAAAAAAACTAGTCATTTTCAGGATTTGTGCCTATGGACACTTTTGATCAGTGAGAGTCAAGAACTATAACATACTAAAATTTCAGCCAATTTCACCGAGAGCCAAAATCTTATGGTTTTGTGCGGGGTCCTTTTTGTGTCAATTTAATACAAGATGAATATGTTAGAAAGTAACTTTAAGATCAGCGATTAATTTTCAACTTTTAAAAGATTTCATTCTCTAGAATAAAATTCATTTTAAAAGTTTTAGAAAATAAAATGTGCAGATTGGTGCAACGAAAAAAGGCAGTGATTAGAGATAAATACCCTCAATCCATTTCTATGAGCCTCGCCACCCGGTTGAACGTCACTGACGTAAAATCCGGCGGCGTATTCGCGTCCACCTCGTAATGAGAAACCAAAGCCGGCATTACCGCGACGCCTCAGTCGTACATTTCTGGTCACGCCGATGACGGCCATCCTGCCGCCTCCTGCCGGGTTCCCAGGACCTCCACCGGTCGACGATCCCGTGCCAGCGCTTGACGCGCTGGAGGAGCCACCCGACCTGTTGTAAAAAAGACGTGTATAAATAATATCGTTTTCTGATACTCTGCTAGCTGAGCATAAAAAAGCCGACGAAAATTCAATTATTTTTTAAGAGCTTTCAACAATTCAAAAGAAATTTCGAGGCTGCGTTATTCTGAAATATTCTAATTAATTTTGCAAAATAAATTTTATTTGTGTAATATCTTTTTTCATTTCGCATATTTTTTGCATGTTCAGAGATATTTATGTATATTTTTGGAATATATTTCTGAAATATTTTCCCTTTCATTGTGTAAGTCTCGGTAAATATTTTCTCGGTCCCTCAGCTACGTCCGTCGCTGCAGTACCATCGCGGTTTTATTTCACCTTCGTGAGCAATTGTCTTGCAAAGATCCTCATTTTCTTCCTCGCTTCGATGAACGAATGAGCGAGCGGTTGAATTCCGTACCTTTGTTCGTCCCCCGCCGTTCTTTTTCCACCGCGCTGTGAAATTAATGACCACACTTGGCGCGAGGAAGGAAGGCGAGCTGAGGAAACGAACGTGGTGGCAAGGTGGAGCCGGTAGAGGAGTCACGAAGAATTCCACGCTCGAAGGAGAAAGAGGAAAACGGACGAAGAATGACTTGGGCCGAGACCAAACAGAGACACTCTGCTAATGACGCTGAGAATCTATCTTCAAGGGACATTCAAAAGATTGCACGCGACATGAAGCGGCAACACAGATGCTGTAGGACACCAGGGATGACACTGGGTAAATGACAGTCATTAATGGAAAAGGGAGGTTGCTCCAGATTGACTGGAGCAAGCTGCTTCAGGAGATCTTGTAAGAAGGGTTCTCCTTCTTGTCATTCTAGCCTCACCTACCGTACTTTCTTCGTGAAACAATGGCCGTGAACAATGGTATTTCGATATACTGCCAGTACTGAAAATCTACCCAAGCAGAACATAAAGCATGGTGTCTGGCTAGTCAATTCAAGGATAATTCCAGGACATCTCAGAAAAATATCCTGGTTTTTCCAGGATTTATCCATCAATTAATTTTCATTATTTAATTAATTTTTATCGATTCGTGCAATATTATATGCTTTGTATTCAATTCAAGTTAGGATTCTATATGAATGAATTAAAACGCTAACAAATTGGGAACAATATTATTTATTGCTTTATAAACGAATATTCCATTAACACAAACGTTTTTCTACTATATCCTATGTACATTAAATTCAAGTTGCCTATTGATGACTTATTACACCTTTAAGGAAGGATTTGTGCTCAAACACAACTTTTCTTTTTATTATTTCTTTTTTTCATGCTCTAACTCTTTTAGAATGAAAGAATGATAAATTTCAGACCAGTCCTGAAATTTCAGGGATTTTCCAGAATATACAAAATTCCAGTATAATTCCAGGATTCAAGGATATTCAAAGACTGGATACCATGATAAAGTCATCATAATATCAAAATAGTTCAAATTTTGAAAGAAAAATTATTTAAAAGACAAATATGATCAGACATGAAGTCTTACATGATGCTATGTAAAAATACAACAATTACAGTTTTACAATTATAATATGACTAAATATTATTATAATTAATTTGTCAATAAAATTGAATGTATTTATTGGCAACAAAACATGTACAAAAATTATGTAGAAAAATTCAAAAATTTTTCTGGCGTGTATAAGTATCAGTCAATAGAATTTCTTTATCAATAGTTATTTCTTATCATTGAAAGGTATGAAAATTACGTTCATTTATACATTAATGTATAATAAACAATTTTCTTAAAAACAAATCCTAACTGATTTGAATAACTTATATTTATCAAAGATGTAATTTTCTTAAAGACATTGAGATATATGTATATATACACACACACATATACATATATACATACATATGAATGTACTTTGGACCTTAATGTTCAAATGACGTTATCGTAGCCTGTTGCTCTACTTAAGTATAGTTTAAGTACTCTCTAACTTATATGAAGTGGAGTCTCGTCAAAGAGTGAAAATTGAACCAGTCTTAAAAAAAGTGGCTCAATTTTCAAACTTCAAGAGTGAAATTTCACTCTTCAGAGTAAGATGTACTCTAAAAGTTTTAGAGACTAAGTAACTTGAACTATAGGTTTTCAATACTGGCAGTGTACGAGTATATCAAAACACGGCCAATGTCTGGAGAAAACTGGAGCTCCACGTGCTATAATAGCGAGTCTTCAGGTGTTGGAATATGAATTTTTGGAGCAAACATAGCCAGGCGTGAGAACCCACATGGAAATCGGAGAGTCGCAGATTGCGCTCGGTCGTGGGATAATACCTATTTTATTCCGCGACCGCTGACATCAGCATCCCCGGAATCTCGCGTTGCGTAATAACGGCGTGGGATAACGCAATTTTATTTTAGTGCATTTAATCGTGCTCCTTTTTTATGTAATGGGGTCCCGGGAGGCGTTCGAGCGCACCGCGACGATGGAAACAGCTGCGTGTAAAAGTCAAATTGCTACCTCATGCCGGAAGATCTATTATGCAATCGCGACGGGCGAGAGAGGACAATAGATGCACGTGGCGGTGTTCCTCGCGCGTGGGGATTCCGCGACAACGCGCGCGTCCGTACGGAAAGACGTACCGTTACGATCGTCGATATCACCGTTTGACGATCACGCCCTGAAAGTGTTACAGCTAACGCAAACGTCGCGCGTACACACGTACACACCTTCCCGATCGTATCCGTCTGCGCTGGCTGACCCACCCGTGTCACGACGATCGCGATCGTCGTGATACTCATATGCACGTATTAATCCGGGATTCAATATTCCGCTCACGAACTATGCTAATTCCCGCCTCCTAAGGGTAAAACGTGTCGAAAGAGCTAACGGAAGAAATTTCAACGAAGAAGATAGCAAAATGAAAAATTATAGGAGAATCGAGAAGACATCTTTAGACAAAACCACATAGAAGCATAGAAAGAACAGTTTTGCTGAAGGATTTAAAAATTAAGCTAGATATAGATCTGAAAAAAAATTATGTTGAATCAATCAAATAACTATATGTAGGACACTCAAAATGATTGCTAGAATGTAAAAATTTGTTGCGACATTGCTCATCATGATAATGCTTTTTTTTGCAACATTGCTCATCATATTGTCATGAGACTGTGGTAATTAACCCTTACCGTACCATCTACAATTTGGTGCCTCATCCATACCATCAAGGGTCACTAGAATAGCTTCGTTTTTTTCATCTCTTCGAAATAATTTAAAAAATTTCTAAAAATTCACCAACATACTTTCAACTTTCTAGAATAAATATTGACTCTTTATTTTGGAAAATAATAAAATGTGTAATATAATTTATAATTACTGAAAGACTCAAAGAAACTTGCACGAACAGCAATCGCTCGGTCACTAGTTACCCATATTAGTACGGTAAGGGTTAAGAACTTGTATCTTGGGATACAATTATTTTTTTAATAATAATGAGATTTTTAACTCTCCGCCGGAAACATGATTTTAAAGACATCCTCGATATTTTTATTGTAAATTTTGATAGATAAATCTGTAAAAAATAAATAAAATACAATCTGACTTTTATAATGATAAAAACTTGGTGTTAAAGCTTTGACAAGTATATCAGAATCATCTTTTCAGATCTTTATATAATTCAGAACAATAAAAAAATTTGCTGTGTTTTTCGAAAACCCTTATTGTTAATGGAAGAGTTAAAATTCTATGTTACGGAGAATTAGTGTTAGCTCACAAGTTATATTACTTCAGTTGAAAAATATAACTAAAGAGCCAATATTAAAAATCTCATTATTGTTGAAAAAATAATTAGTGTGCCTCAAGGCACAACATATCCCTGGATAGAGGAGATATTCTTCTCTATTCACTTATGAAATATTAACCAAGGAATCTCGTCCGAAATAAAGAGCTCATTGAATAGCGTTACATTTCTCTCACACCATTATTCTGAGTGTCAGTTACGATACTCTCGGATTCGTCACGTCTGAATTCTGACACGTGTAAAATATAACAGGACACTTATGAATCACCGATTACGAATTCTGTTTACGTTTTATGTTAATCGGTGTCGAAGGGACGAGTTTGAGCCAAGTCAGAGGTTTGGAGAACCAGGGCATTCACGTACGAGAAATGCGTTTCGTTTACTTATTATTAAGCTTTGCCTCTCACTGTTATCACAGTCAATTTTTCTTATTTCCCATCAAAGTTAGCGCGCCGCGATATTTATTATTGCTATTAAATTTCTGCTCGTGTATCATGGTAATAGCATGGTAATAGTGAGACATGAAGGATGCGAGGAACGTCCAGCTCGCCGACAATGCGGAGAAAGTTGATGCAAGGCTGCAAAGAACACGGAAAGGCACGCCCTGACGAGTGTTCTCGTCCTTTCGACTCTCATGACCGTAACTCTGACTTGTTCCTCGTTGCTCACATATTGCACAAATGGGAAGTAAAAACTAAAGAATCTTTTTAAGATCCAATGAGTTTAGTTTCTTTAAAAATGATTATTTAAGAAAAAAGAGATTATTTAACTTTAACTCCCTGAGGTATTCCTGGTCGCGTTTAGCAAATTTGTGTTCAAAGATTAGAAATCTTTATATATTTTAATATATTTTTAATTTTTAAATATCATATATTTGGAAATGGGAAACGGATAGATATAAAATTACGAAAAGTAATAGAGAATCTTAATTAAAACATTTAAAAAATTATGGCTTTTGAAATTGAAGAAGTTACGGAATTATTTCATTGTCTTTCTATAATGACGCTTTACTTCAGGAATACTCGAACGAGATATACGTATTGCCATGAGTGTCTTGGTATGCTCGGTATCTAACTTTAGAACTGGTAGCAAGCAGTCGAACCAGAAGTTGACAAATTGTTACCAGACGTGTTTAAAGTACCGCCGGCGATTCGCCTCACGGTCTCTACAACACGGTCTCGCGTATCAGCTTATACGGCTAATCTCTTCAAACGGATTATTGCTGTACGTACAA